GACAGGCTGCACAGCTGCGGAGTGCGAATAGCAACAGTGGTCCGGAGTGTAGCAGCAGTCATTCCCAATCAGCAGAACTCCAGCGTATCGAAAAGAGTGACAAAAGTAACTGTGGAACCACACGACGGGTGGATATCTGGCAGGCAAATACAAATTCAAGTCAGGAGGAACTGACGCGAGGGGAATGGTGTCAGAATCGGCATGAGTGGAATCAGGCTAGCAGACACTTCATCGCGGAGTCCACCAGAAGAGCATTCTTCCGCGAGCAGTGGGATCATGAAGCACTAGGAAGATTTGGTCGGTATTGATTCTGGTAGTATCACTCATATGACGCTATACCTGAAGGGGCATTTGGAGTATACGGTTAGCAAGGTAGTTTAGAGATAAAACAATAATTTTTTTTAATTATAGATGAGACCTAGAATTTCTCTATTAGCTAGGATTTAGAGGGTATTGGTAGATTAACCAAAATTTGAGGTAGTTTATTGGTAACATCACCCAGTCAAGAGGGATCAGGAATGTGTATAGTTTGGCCGTGACGGGTCACCTGTCGCTACGGTCTGAGACCGTAGCGTCAGATAGAGCCCCATCCGCGCTCCCTTGTAGGGAGGCAATGTGTCTGTATATTTGCAATGGTTTCTATGTACAGAGGGAAGGCGGGAGGGACACAACGAGTCTTGACTGTGTGAGAGATGACGAGCTACGAGCAGAGGCGAGCAATTGACTCCCGTGAGGCAGTTGCAGGGGGAAGAAACCCCTCCGTAGGCCGGTGGGCTCTGTGCCGGCATCACGTGAGGCAACCCCAATAAAACCCCACCCTGTAATTGGTATTTATCTCTAGTATTACAGATACTATCCTTTACCAGAAACCGTTAGATGGGTGTACAAGCTCGCCGGGGCGCACCAACAACAAGAAGCGGTGTGGATCCTCCACAAACCCGAGCTGGAGGTCTTTTCTCTCCCTCCACACATCTCTTTCTCAGGGTCTTTGCACTTCTCGCAGAATTGGGTTAATATGTTCAACTTTCGTATCTTGACTTCTCTCACATATTTGACGCATGTTGCCTTTCTAGGAGGCAATGTGCAAACTCATGGTTCCCAGCTTAGGGACGTTGTTCCTAAGCGCGAGATTCTCTACGTTGGCGGACGATACACGAACACCACAGCAAGTCTTGATTCCCACCAATTCTATCGCGTATCTAAGATTTCCAAACAGAAAAATGCAATCAATTCTACATCGATGGCGATGATAGGGCAAATTTACGTCGAGAAGCTTTCCCCTAAGCCAACCCCGGCTAACCCACCGCTTCCCATTATCTTTATTGCAGGCGCGGCTCAGACCGGTACCAATTTCCTTGATACTCCAGACGGACGGCCAGGATGGGCGTCCTATTTTATCTCCAAGGGTCACACAGTCTACCTCTCAGACCAGCCTGCCCGCGGCCGCTCCTTCTGGTTTTCCGGCCAGGGAAGTATTGGGTTCATTGGTTCCCCCAATTCTGTCTCTGATATTTTCACCGACGTAGCAAGCAACAACAACCAATGGCCACAGGCGAAGCTTCACACGCAATGGCCTGGCACCGGTCGCATTGGCGATTCAACTTTCGACGCGTTCTATAGGAGCCAGATGCAGTTCCAGACCGACCGCTTCATAAGCGAAGAACAAAATGCGCAGGCGTATTCAGCTCTAGTCGAGCTCGTGGGCGACTGTTATATCATCAGTCACTCGCAGGCGGGTGCATACGGTGACTTCAGCCAAGCACTATGACGCGCTGAAGTGGTTAACGATTGAGTAGGCTGGAGGGTCGGAGACATGCGCCCAAACCTAGTTAAGGGTATTGTCCAGCTCGAGCCGTCTGGTCCACCATTCACGCTCCGCCCGCCGTTCGGAAACGACCCAGCTTTCGCTTTCGGTCTCACTGACCTCCCAATCGGATACGAACCGTCTGCAGGCAAGAATGCCGAAAATATTGAGACAGCCATCGAGCCAGCAATCGACGCTGATCACGACGAGTGCATCATGCAGAAGTCCCCAGCGAAGCAGTTGACAAACCTGGGCAAAATCCCAGAACTCGTTATTACAGGCGAAGCATCGTTCCATGCGCCATACGATTACTGCACCGTCAAGTATCTGGAGCAAGCTGGCGTAGACGTTGAGTACGCGAATCTAGGCACCGAGGGTATTCATGGCAACGGACACATGTTCTTCATGGAGAAGAACAACCTTGAGATCGCAGACCGGGTGTACCAGTGGCTGAAAAAGCACTAGGCAACGGATAATAAATATCAAATTCCTCATTGCGTTGTTCCATAGTGTTTGTATTTTGAATGTAGGTCATTGACCGCCAGGATTTCTCTTCGAGAGGCATACCCGTCAACCTTTTTATACGCTGTCGACTTGAAAAACAGGGACGAAAGGCAGAACTGAGTTCTCTATATTCACTGTGTACGATGTTCCCTGTTAGTCTTGAATTGGAGAAGGCTGTTAATAGACGCATCTGAAGCAGCGCCCCAGCTTTAATCCTATAAGAAACAACGCCATATGAAGTAATTTACGTGAAGCCGCCCCGTAGCAAAATCACGCGGTATTGACGGGCTAATTCCTGTTTCCATGCACGAAATCTTAACACCTCGGGAGACAATTGCGATAGCGCGGCTTTGTTGTTGATTCGCGCCAGCCTCCTCTCGCAAGACGGACCACAGGTCGGTAGCATTGGGTTTAGCCAAAATACTTCCTGTGGACTCAGACGAACATATGGCATTGGATTCTCGTGCGGCGAGGTGCTCAAGTCGGTCAGACACCGACACAAGAAGCCAAAATTGAAGCGTGAAAGATTGATGCAATCAGTGAGCATAGGTGCATCAAAGAATGCCCCAAAACAGTATAGGGCTTGCTTGAACGTTGAGTCAGTATTTGAATAGACACTCGGGTGTAGAACCACCCTCCGATACCATTGATTCACGCTGTCCACAACGTTCTCCGCCAAGATAGCCAAATATATCAATACAAAATGTATCAAGGCGCGGTGGAGCTACATCCGGGACTTTCCCTTTCCAGAAATCCGTTCCTCGTTGGATCCTCCTCTTCGACCTTTCAAATGACATAATCTTGCTGAAGTCCAATACCTGGTTCGTGGTATCTAAAAGAGTTCGACCACATGCGTGTGTCGTCTCAAGGAGACTCCTGGAACTCGTTCAGACCCGTGCCACCAAAAGGCTCAGCGGCAGCCAATACGCCATGCAATGGGCTGCGCAGCTCATGAGATATACTACTGATGAAATCACCCTCTTGACGATCTGCGATAGCTGATTCAACCCGACTGTATTCTGTCGTGATGGGCGATGCAAGCCAAATACAGAGCTGAGATCGATAGCACGACTGAACACTCGCGTTGGCTGGGGAGCCCAAGAGAAACATCCCGCGAGCCACTGCAAATGGGTGGCATTCCATAGTGGGACAAACATGACCTGATACGCATCAGGGGAATACGCGTTGGGTTTAACGGTTTCCGTGGTCATAGATTATTTCCTCCGTTTGAGAGACGCATCCAATGAATAACGTTCGTCCAACATAGAGGGGATACCGTCGTGAGGGAAAGATCAGAGCTTTTCTTTGGGATAGCGACGCATCAGTTGATTCTGAAATCTAATGTCGAGACTGGCAGCTGCGGATGACACTGTATCGCCCATTTGGTCTACATCGGAAGAACAGGCGCAAGACTTTGTGATTCATTGGAGTAGCGAGGGTTCTCGGTAGAATCTTTTGATGATTCTTCGGTGGTAGCCAAAAGCTTCGCACCTCCAGTACCATCGAAATCCAGACTTTCCCGTAGAGATTTGCGGCTCATTGGAAAAGCCATGAATTGCTAGTCGAGTATTCCAACGAGCCGCCGTCGGAAAAAGCACCATCGGTCTGTTGCGAGCTACCCGAGGATTCCATTGGGCTTGCTGCAATACATATGTCCAACTCATCGGACGGGCTCGAGAGGCGTTTCTCGCTGTTTTTGGGGGTGTATGAAGAGTTTCAGCATTTGCCAAAAAGACTTCCAGCCCTTGAGAATTTGTAGAGCGGCTCATTCTATCTCAGAGGGGGGGAATGCCAGCGAGTGAGGTCTTTCGCCTGAAATATCGGGCAGAACGACATAGGATTCTGGCCAGGAAATTAAGTTGCCGTTAACGAAAAGGTGGAGACCATGCAACAGGCGTGAAGCTCGTTTCCCTTCTGCTGCCTGGCGACTAACCCGCAGATAGCCCATAATTAGGGCTGCCACTGTCCCTAGCGTGTCCCCGTCGATGTTCGACATCCCTCCGCGGGGCTCGGGGTCCAATACAAACAAACATCCTAGGTTTATGCCACTATCACTTGTCAAAGGTGTTCCGGCGTAGAAGCGCGACTGCGGATCGCCTTGCATAAACGGTAATTGTCTGAAGCGATCTTCCTGTCTCAGGTCGTTGATAACCAAAGATAGAACATCTTACTTTTCTAAGCTAATGAAGACGGTCACTTGTTCGAAAATAGAGAGGCGCAGAAGTCAGCGTCATGATAATGACTGATATGGGAGGTTAGACTCGTACCTGACATATATTTCGAGCATGTCAATGTCGGTGTTCCAGAGAAAAGCCCATCTTGCGATGTTGGTACTTTTCGTTGCTTCTGCCAGTATGAACTGGAAGTCGCGATTCAATATACTGGTGAAATTTCAAATGGTGGTCTAAGCTGTGGTGTCGAACTTCGAGCGGGACAGTACGGACTAGTACGGGCATAGCCAATTGAGTACTTGAGAGTGTGTTTTCTATATACTATAGAAAGTGCAGAATAAATAGGGGAGGAGCTTAGTAAGGTCGTTGAGAGCCTTACGATCATCAGGCAGAGGGGGTGCTGAATATTCCTCGGGCGCACTAGTAAAATGGCGACCCTCTTTTGTTGACACACCCCCCCAGCAGCCACCTCATGTCTGAGAACGCGACGTTGAATGCGATCTTCTTTTCTCACTTCCACCTCATTTGATAAGGTGCTGTATGTTCGTGAGTCCGAGAGCGCGCATGAAACTGCTGTGATTTTGAGCAGGTAAGAGCTTCGTGAGTCCATCCGCGGCCATATCTTTGGTGGGAACCCAGCGGATAGCGATTTCTCCGGCTTGGACGGCCTGCCGAAGCCAGTGGTGGTGAATATCAACGTGGCGAAGCTTGGTACTGAGTTGAGGCGTCTCCTTGGTGAGAAGGCCAACGGTCTGGGCGTTATCGCACTGAATTTCCATGGCTTCTGAGTCCTGGTATTCGAGGTTGACCGCGGCGAGTAGACGTTTCCACCAAAGAGCTGATTTCGCTGCCTCGGATAGGGCTAGCAGCTCTGCTTCTGTGGTAGAAGTTGTCACGGTCTTTTGCTTTCCAGCTTTCCAGTCGACTGCCCCGCCGAACAGCTTGCAGAGGTATCCTTCCGAGCTCTTGCGGTCCTTATGGTCGCCGAACGATGCGTCGCTAGCGAATTGAAGGGCAGGCTCGAGGCCATGCATTGGATGGTACTCGAGGGCGAAGTAACGAGTGGAGTCGAGGTAACGGATGAGCCGGTCGGCTGCTTCAAGGTGTTGAGGTCCGGGATTAGTGAGGAATTCGGCCAAGTGGCTCGCAGACTTCGCATCTCCATGATGTCCGAATGGATCATTTCAAAGATCCTCGTTGAATGCAGACGTGGCCGTCTTGCACGGGAGTTCCTCTTCTGATGCTGCTTACCCGACATATACGCCGGGCACTGCATCGTTGCCAGCATCTGCGCCTGTGTTAGCGGTCGGTACGGAGTGCCGGACTGCCGGAGGACCACCCTCAAGTCTCCCCGGTTCAGATGTCCCATCCGAGCGTGCCACATCGCTTCGGAGGCCTGGTCCACTCCTTTGCACGCAACTTCTTCGAGTATCACAGCTTCACCACCGAGTTCAGAGGTTGACGTTGCGCATTCTGCGTCACTTGACTCCTGAGGGTCGTCGACGTCCATGGCCACCGCCTGCGGTTCCAGGGAATCTGCATGGACATGGGTACAACATAGGGGAACGGAGTGATTCTGCGATGGCGATGAAATCATGAATGCAAGGAATCGAGTCCAATGTTTGCATTATTTGTATGCGACTTAACCCCACACAAAGGATCCCCATTCTTTCTTTCTCTTCTCTCTCTGACTTTGTATTTTGAAAGAAATGCACTCTTTGCTTTGAAGATCTGGCAGGTAATAACGATCCCACTCCGGCGATTATATTCTGTACAGTGCTTAAGCCCAAGTTATATATTATTCCCATGTAATTTAACACGGATATTAAGGGGTTCCTGTCAGGTCCATCTACCATTCCAAAAAGAAAATGAAGACCAGCCAACCTATGACGAGAAAATGATCGACATCTTGTTCAGCCCTATTTATAAGATATAAAATTCGACTGGCACAGGGTGCGTATCAGAAATATGGTTCGTGCATATAGCGAAGTGGTATCGCGATCTAAAATATTTACTAGTATAACAGGCGTTTTGTTTGCCAGGCCACTAGGTCCTGGTAATTACTCCGTACTAGCAAGGGACTACCAACGGATCATGGTAGCTGAGAGCCCTGGAGCGCTCCGGCTACTGTATTTCACTATCGAGCTGGACACTCTACCGAGCTGGACACCCCAGAACACCATAGTAAATGAGATAAATGACAACTTGACATCTCAGCAACCACGTTGTTGTTTTCATTTCTTTGTTATTCAATAGCTATCGATAAGGGTTCTAAACACTATATATCAGTTTTAAGAAAATCAAAAAGCTGCATCATCATGGTATTGAAAATTACGTTGCTTAAAGCCGCAAATATATATATCTCAAATCACAAAGTTGTATATATTTATTAAAGTCCTTGAAGAGGCCAGATATGACCTAGAGAGGATTAAGCTATGAGGAAATTTCCATATAGAACACCTTTGTTGAGATATTAAGTTGTAATTTATCGCATTTACTATGGTGTTTTAGGGTGTCCAGCTCGGTAGTGAAATACTTTAGTCTTTCGTATTCCAAGCCGGCGTTGCACCCTATGGTGTAGTCCTATTTGGAGCCTGGTGGCGCACTTGGAGTGTTTCGTTGTATAGTGGTGTTTCAGCTAGTGTTTGACAACCCTAGCTTTAGACACATTTAGTCCCAAGTGGCACCCTAAGGATGTTTTGTCGCAGGTATCCGCAGATAGTGTGGTAATTCCACCAATCGGTGAGCCACCCACGGTTCAGTCCCATCTTGCCTCTGTTGGCTGATGAATGTCTCGGGAATCTTCCTATATAACTCTAGCGTGATAAACAATGAGAATTTGTACAGTTTGGCAGTCCGCGAAATCTTGAGGAAACGTGCTCCGGTTGCCCTCCGCTTATTGACTGTTTCCGCCTATCAATATAAATAGACCCTGGGTTTCCCCTTGATAACAACTCGACATTGGTTCACATCACTGTTGTAAATATCAAATTATGAGGTATTTCGCTGGCATTACGCTCCCGGCGGTGCTGTTTACAGCTATTGCCAATGCATACGCCAGTCCTGGCAGCTGCTCAGGGGCCTGCAACGTGCATGACCCTACCTTGATCCAACGCTCGTCTGACAAGCGATATTTCCGGTTTTCCACTGGGAACAAGATATCATACGCGAGTGCAACCTCCATCAAAGGTCCATGGACAAATATTGGATCTATTTTGCCTGCTGGGTCCTCAATTGACCTTCCTGGTCGTGATGACCTTTGGGTGAGCCACACGAGTTAATTTTTAATGCCTTGTTGGATCTATACTGATACAACTCTGCTTAGGCACCTGACGCTCAGCTCGTCAATGATCTTTACTATGTCTACTACACGGTTTCCACATTCGGGTCACAGGATTCGGCGATTGGAGTAGCCAGTTCCCCGACCATGGAGCCGGGTTCCTGGACTGACCACGGAAGTACTGGAATCAGGTCCTCCTCCTCCAAGAGCTACAATGCTATCGATGCCAACCTGTTCAATGATGGTGGATCTTACTATATGACCTTTGGTTCTTTCTGGCACGATATCTACCAAGCTCCTATGAACTCGGCTGCCACCAAAGTTGCATCGTCATCTTACAATGTGGCCTTTGACCCGTCAGGAACTCATGCGGTTGAGGGTGCCTACATGTACAAGCATGGTAGTTACTACTACCTCTTCTACTCTGCGGGAAAATGCTGTGGCTTCGATACGTCTCGCCCTGCCAGTGGCGAAGAGTACAAGATCAAGGTCTGCCGATCTACATCGCCAACGAGCGGATTCGTACGTATTTTACCCCTGCCAATGTCAATTTGCTTTAACAGTATTCCTTGTAGGTGGACAAATCTGGTGTTGCCTGCACAAATGGAGGAGGTACAGTTGTGCTGGAAAGCCACGGCAACGTTTACGGGCCCGGGGGGCAGTAAGTTTCCACCTCTTGGTCCAGAAATTTCCCGAAATCCATTGCTTACTTTGTCTAGGGGTGTCTTTACCGATTCCAGGCTTGGCCCTGTTCTATACTATCACTATGTGGACACAACTATCGGTTACGCCGATAGCCAAAAATTGTTCGGCTGGAACAAAATCGACTTTTCCAGTGGATGGCCAGTTGTTTGAATCGGTGGTGATACATTGGTGCAATAGAAATTACTTACCTGAAGCTTGTCAGACCTTTCTTTGTCCCTGTAAGATCCTTTCTGACTTTCATGACTTTGTGTCTCTGTTTCTTTGTCCGTCTGTCGCCATGAAGCTATCTAGAGAGCTTCATGGCTGTAGTTGGATCATTAATACAAGAGAATCATCTCTCTTCTCCTACCACAATCAAATGATTGCGTATACATATAAATGTCGGGCATTTGGCCAATTTGCTATGGGACAAGTTTTCCCTATATATATAAAATCAGAAATGAACACAGTCAAACAAGCCGGCCTCATACGAGGTATTAGTGAAAATAAGAAAAATGATCTGTCTTCTAAGTGCAGCTCCAAAAGCAATTTGTGGTTGCGAAGTCAATTCAGGTTCCCATGTCTTTACTGTGACTGGCGCCAATTGTGGAGAGGCCGCTTATCAACCTACTGAAAAATACCATTTGTGCCGACGCGGCCGGATTCGGCCGCCCCCTCGATCGGGTTCGTCGTCCATGCTTTCCACGCTTTTCTTGAAATGGCAGAGGCACCGCCCTCTCTCCTGTTCTGGTTTAGCAGTTCCCGAAGCAAAACCGGGGACCTGCCATCTCTGACCGCCTCACCCGCCACAACCAAATGCAAACGTGCCAACATTGGCACACTTGCCAAATGCATAATGATTTCGTTAGGGACTCACTTATAAAATGTAGTAGTGTAGAACTAGTGAATAAGGTTAGTAACTGTAACTACGGCGGTAACTAATGCGAGGTGAGTACCTGATGGCGACATTTCGTTTCCGGTAATCCAATCGTTTCTTCGAATCCACCCATGCCTACACTAGTTCCAAGATTGTCAGGGACCACTCTTCACACTTAGTTTAGTGCTGGCAATTTCCCTTCCTCATTCTTCAATCTTGTTCAATCTTGCTACAAGGTTAAAGACAAAACTTGAGCATGGCCGGTAGTTTCCTCCCTTACCACGAACCTGGAAGTAAGTACCCAAGCATATGCCGATTGATCCATGCTCATTCCTCACTGATCAATTATTGCAGCTGTCGACATCCTCATCGTCATTTCTTTTTTCTTCTTTCTTTCCCTTGCAAGATGGATCTCCGCGACGGCAATCCAGGCCGGAATTATAGGTCAAATCGCTGTCGGCATCATCTATGGAGTACCCTTGGCCAATATCCTTCAGCATCACTGGCAAGAGACTTTTGTCACTCTTGGATATGTTGGCCTAATTTTGATCATTTTCGAAGGTAAGTAAAAAATTTCATCGTGCCTGACTGCTCGGCTTCTTGGCTTCTTGGCTCTTGGGATACTGATGTCATTAATTCTAGGCGGTCTTGGCGCCCGCGTCGATTTGCTTAAACAGAACTTCACTTTGAGTATGATCGGCGCAGCAACTGGGGTTTTGTTTCCCATTGGTCTTTCATACCTTTTGCTCTACCTTGGCTTTGGATATGGTTGGTTTTATTGCCCCATTTTCTACAGTTGATAGCTAACATGGACTAGGGGCAGTTGAGACCTTCATCATTGGTGCGTCTCTTTCCGCTACTTCGCTCGGTAAACTATCCTCGGAAGTTCTCATTCCACAAAGTTTCCATTGCTGATTAATGTTAGGGACCACATTTGCTGTGATCAGCTCCACGTCTGACTCGGTCAATCTCGCCGAGACTCGAGTAGGGTCAGTTCTGGTCAGCGCGGCTGTCATCGACGATGTCGTAGGTCTTGTCATGTTAAGGTGTGTCGCCTATCTGAACTGAGATAAGGTGTGTGGTAATACATCAAGCTAACTATCTATCTACACAGTGTAATTGGCGATTTGGGCAAACTTTCAGGTGGCGGCGATAGTGTCAACCTGGGCTGGCTCATTGGACGTCCCATAGTGGCATCGATAGGCATGGCTGTTGTAACGCCTATCGTCACTAAATGGGTCTTTGCGCCCTTTTTCCGCAAGTTCATTGAACACCGCTTTGCGCGCTACGACCATATCTCGAACATCATCCTCATGACCCTTGTTCTTTCGGCTTTCATAGCCATCGCTGGCTTTACTGGTACATCCGTCTTATTTGGTGCCTTCCTGGCGGGTGTATTTCTTACATACATACCGAGCAAGCACCCCGAGGGACCATTTGTTGTCCTAAGCCGCGAGGAGGGCGAGCGCGAGGCGGATAAAAGCCCCACTTTCATTCATACCTTTGAGAAATACTTGCTAGGGGCCCAGCAGTATTTGATGGAACCATTGTTCTTCTCAAGTATCGGATTCGCGATTCCGTTCTTGAAGCTGTGGACCGGGGAACGCATTTGGAAAGGCATTGTTTACACCCTTCTGATGACGGTTGCAAAGGTATAGAGATACTCTCAGTCAATTCTCAGCCATTGAGCTAAAACAGATTTATAGTGCATCGTCGGAATGTGGGTCCCCATATGGCAACTCGTTTTGGGAGGTAAATCTCACAAAGAAGAGCCACACGAAGGGCAGAAAACACGGGGACAACCAAAAATTGCGGACAACAACCCAAGCGATGAACAAAGCGACCAGGAGAAGAGGAAGACGTGGAAACGGGCCTGGCTGGCCGCAACACTTTTAGGATCTGCCATGGTAGCACGCGGTGAAATTGGGCTTCTGATAATCGAAATCGGACACAATGAAACTCCGTACGTTAGTGATGAAGGTTTCTACACTGGCGTCTGGGCGATTCTTTTGAATACCATCATTGGCCCAGTTAGCGTTGGTCTTCTGGTTAGATTCTACGCGCACGAGCTGAAAGGAGGGGATTGGGGAGTGCAGCGAGCTCCCCTGGCTATCATGGCCCACAGTAATAGTGGGCATGGAGCGGTATAGACATTTTCTTCGAAGGTCACATGTCAGGTGGAAGGACATGGCTGTACATAGAATGTGGAAGTGCTATGAGGGAGCGGTATGCATTGTGATATATCTGATTGATAAGCTGAATACCCTGAAAAATGTGAGAAGAAAACCCTGTTTGAAGTGGAATCAGGTGGGAAAGTAAAGATTAAGCTTGTTTGTACAATCCATGGATGGGTTGATGTCCGAAAGCGAAGGTGTCCATGTCGTGATGGGCGGGGTTAATTTCGGTTGCTCAGTCACAAGCTGGTTGCTTGGCCTCGCCTTCCCCATCTCACCTCCCAAAGAGGATCGATCATGCCGGTATAAAACTGCATTGAAAATATTGAGTCGTTAGTCAAGTTTCTTATTATTGTTGATTTGTCTATCTACTAAAACATGGAAAAAGATTTACTTTTATGGTTCCATTGATGACGATGATGAAGTCATTTGCCCGATGTAGCTCGCTCTGTATATACGCTGCTATGCGGGAGTGCTGTCAGGCCTGCCGACAGCTGGAAGGTGGTCACTAGCCCACTGGGGGCGACCGTCAGGGAACTCGTCTTGCGAATGTGTCATCAATCGTCCTCGAACCGAAAGATGTAAACTAAAAAAAGAAATGCACGGAATGGATCCGATGAGTAAGAATTGACAAAAAAAAAAAAAAAAAAAACCCCCTCCAGATCTTTCTCCACATCGTTAAGCCGTTCCTGAGAACCACCAGCCCGCCTACGACTCTTTCCCTCTCTTCCTCCCTTAGGCCCTCTGATTTTCACTTCAACTCTAAACTTCCATTTTATCCACTATATCATCTATATCATCATTTTTTTCTTTCCTTTTTCCGTCTTTCCCTTCTTCCCCTCTCAGCTCCCCAGAGTTCTGACTCCGCCTTTCCCCAGGATTGTCATTCCTATCTTTGGGAACGCCAAGGCCCAGTCAATTCTTTTTGCATCGACTGATACACTTCACTTCTGGATAATGTCGCTTGAGGAACCTATGCTCATTTTGTGATCCATATTTTCTTTTCAATTTGCATCAGGTCCATCGGAAACCACGTCTGAGAATTAGAGCGCACACTCACAGAGTGTATTTACTAGTGTCTCATCATGGTGTAGATTTGGATTATATCATCGTGTCGCAAAAGCTTCCGGAAGCTCGGTCGCGCAACGGTTCGAACTAAACTACAACCAATCTCAAAAACCATGTCTCATACCCAACCATCTCCCGCCGAGGGCGTGGCTCCGCATCTTGCTGCGCTGCAGCTTGCAGCACATGCGTACGCTAATGATCATGTGGCTGCAATTCTGGTGCAAGGTCAAAAGAGAGCCCCTTCTTTCGCCATCGCCCAGGAGATCGCCGCGCTTAATGGGCAGGTCTGGCTTCAAATAGGTAAGGGTTTTAGCTTGGGCTCGCAATCTGGCCAATGCTGACACTCATATGCAGGAAGCTTGACCGAATCGATGGGCGATTTAGATGGTGCAATAAATCATTATGAGCAGGCTTTGCGTCACAACCAGTGGTCTATCCCAGCCATGAACGCTATCTCATGCATCCTCCGGACAAAAGAGCAGTTGCCCAGAGCTATTGAGTACTTGCAAAATATTTTGAAGTTGGACCCGAGCAGTGGAGAGACTTGGGGTAGCTTGGGTCACTGCCATCTCATGATGGACAATTTGCAAGATGCATACACCTCTTACCAGCAAGCTCTCTACTACTTGCACAATCCCAAGGTAAGCAGTTCTCTCCACATATCCTCTACAATACTAGTTGCTGATTACACTTGCCTTGGTAGGAACCCAAGCTGTGGTATGGAATTGGTATCTTGTATGATCGCTATGACTCTCTGGATCATGCCGAAGAGGCTTTCTCGCGAGTCATAAGCATGGCTCCCGACTTTGAGAAGGCCAACGAAATTTATTTTCGCCTGGGAATCATCTACAAGCAACAGCAAAAGTTTAACCAGAGTTTGGAGGTATATTAACCACTATGATATGAGGGTTGAGAGTTTTAACTAATTAATTGTCTTCCAGTGTTTCAACTACATTTTTAGCGATCCACCACGCCCTCTGACCGAAGAGGACATCTGGTTCCAGATTGGTCATGTTCACGAGCAACAAAAAGATGTAAGTTTTTACTTTCTGAGAATTACCTTATATTGATAAAGACTTTGTATAGTTTGGGTCTGCTCAATCAGCTTACCAACGCGTGCTCGAGCGGAATCCGAGTCACGCCAAGGTTCTCCAGCAGCTTGGCTGGCTCTATCTCCAGTCGAGCAACGCCTTCCAGAGCCAGGAGAAGGCCATCCAGTTCCTGGAACAGTCTGTCAATTCCGGTAAGAATAATTCCCCCCCAACCAATATTTCGATTTACACCAGTTAATTTCTTCACTAGATAACAATGATGCTCAAAGCTGGTACCTCCTCGGCCGTTGCTACATGTTAACGGTGAATTACCTCAAGGCCTATGAAGCCTACCAGCAAGCGGTCTACCGCGACGGTCGCAACCCTACCTTCTGGTGTTCGATTGGTGTTCTCTTCTACCAAATCAATCAGTATCGCGATGCTCTTGATGCCTACTCTCGTGCGATTCGTCTGAACCCTTACATTTCGGAAGTTTGGTACGACCTGGGTGCTCTGTACGAGTCCTGCAACCATCAATTTGCCGATGCCCTGGATGCATACACACGCGCCGCAAACCTTGATCCGGGCAGCGTTGTAATCAAAGCTCGCTTGCAGCATCTTCAAAGACGATTGTCTACCGATACTGATGGGCAGCAGCCGCCCAGTAACCCCGCTCCCCAGCCACATGATGTTCATCACCAGGCTCATCAGGCAACTGGTTTTGGTGCGCCTCCAGCTCCCGGGAGGATTGCTCCAGCCCCTATCGACCCTCCAACCCAAGTCCCTGCTCCCTTGAGGTCGATTCCCAATTGGAACCGTGGTATAAATGAGCTTCAATCTCAGGGCCAAGGTCCTTCATCAAACATTTCTGACCAGCGGGATGCTCGGGCCCCCGGTGCTTCCGTGCAAAGCAGTCAACAGGAGCCTGGCCAGGCATTCCCGGATCCCCGTGGTGCGCCTTGCCTCCCAAAGATGGGTCATCCCAACCCCTACCCGGCGTTTCACACCTTGCCTCAGATCGCAAACGCACCCTCTTTGGGCCATGAACGCGCCCTTAGCGGTGACATTGCATTTGGTGCCGCCCGCAGCAGTCTGCCCTCCGAGTTCCTTGGAACACCTGGGCCTGATGGCGATGCTCCTCCCCCTCCGGCCGAGAGTCGTCCCATTTGCGATGAGCGTCCCTCTTCTCCTGGATCAAGTTGGCCCCACCAGCCGTTTCATGAAGGTTCTACACTCCTCCCACAAGTGACGGGTGGTAGCTCGATCGCTTCTGCCTCGGGTCCTGCCTCTGCCGCTAACACTGCTGAGGCCGCCGCCCGCGACCGCGAAGGGCGTTCCACCTCTGCGATGAAGCGTGGCCGTGAATGGGAGGCTGATGCCGGTCCGACCAAGAAGCTCGCAAATGACGAGATCCGTGCCCGTCTTGATGACCAGACCGTTTGTCGCCTGAGCCCTCCCGTTCGTATGCCTTCTAGTAACATGCAACGACGAAACTTCTCAGAGGTACACCACGAGGATGCCCGTCGTGCTAACGAGAATTACCACTCGGAAGGTGGTGGACACCCTCCTTCGATTCAAAACGTGCAACCCCACGCCTCAAGTAATCCCAGTTCTCCCTCGATCACCGAAGACTCTGCTCCCGCATTGAAAGTCCCTCCGTCTGGGCCTCCTTTGGCCAATACCCCGGTCGAGGAGGAGGCTCCTCGCTCTGAGGCACCTCCCGCGCACGAAACCCCCTTGCAGAGAATCGATGTGGATGAAGGCTATATTGACGAAGTTGAATAAGATAAGAAGGCTACTGCTGCTTCCAAGGGCCGCCTTAATGGCAGCGCAGCTAGCATCACCGCCAACGGTACCGGTGATGCTCGCTCCGGCATGTCTTGGAATGTCGAGTCTTCAGCTTAAATGGTTTCCTATCCGGGCCAGACCATATGATCTGGTTTACCTTAGCAAACCCATCGCTCTTTTTCTCCTTCCTGATCCTAACTTTCCAGCGTGTGATGTACGGTGTGAATGTACGAGTAACGATGACTCGGTTTCGAGCGCGTCTACCGAATACTCGACATGTCTTTTACTCTATGGTTTTCTAGTTTCTTTTCAATGTGAATCCTTATAGCGCTATGGGCATCTTCAAGCAAAACGCTAAGCAAAGAAACGGGTAGCCGAGGTCGTCATTGGTGACTGACTTCGCAATGATGAGGTTCCGGCTGTCCTTGCGAATATAGTGATCTACAACTTGCCACTCACGGGCTTCGGGGACCATAACTCTTTTTTACTAATACATGGGTCTATATATATAACAATGAGCCAAGTTGATTGGACACCAGCTTGGTTCCTGACCTGCACCGGCTTCATATCACAATAAGTAGGTAGACTGTTGCGCCAGTATAGAAAATGCGGACGAGTTGCCTATGCACCACCAAAGCCGCCTGTTGATACATGTCAGTGGTAATTTACCACTAAGCCCGTTTTGGACAGGATCCACAAGAGAAGCTTACTAAGAAGCAAGCCCCTGAGTCTGAGTATGTATATAACAGGCGGACGGATGTATTTAGAGGAACAGCTGTTTGGTGATAATCCATTGCTACGTACGAGACCTTACCGATCCATCGATCGTCGACAATACATCACCTCGCTTACTTCCTTGCATACGCACGAGGAGGCGCCTCTAAAAGGAGGAGGGGGAACATCTTAGGAGTACCAGCGATTAGTCTGAATATCATCATACCCATATCAGGCACATCTCACATTATTAATTCGTATCCATATCATACCAGGACGCCAAGGGGACTGTCCTAACATAGACCGTAGAACACACTAATCATTTGCATGTGATCAAGAGCCTCCAATGCCGGAGAGGGAAGCCTGTGTGACTGCATGATAATCGACAATTTAACCTATAAATGGGGCAATAGAAATGAACGCAAGAAGGGGCCGTCAAACACGGTGTCAGAGCCTCATCCTGCATCTCGTGTGAATCGAGTCGCTTTGATCGACCTAGGCCTCGCCAAAACCCGCCCACCGCCCAAACCCGCCCGCGAAAACCCAGCCCATGGGCCGGGTTGGGTCTTAGTCAGCAAGCCCGTGGGCGGGTTGTCATCCGGGAAACCCAACCCAAGACCCAAATGGGTACCCGCGATTACCCAAAAAAGCAAACAAAGCTGACTGATCATTTTACACTAAGTTATGCAGTAATTTTCGATTATCTAATTGTTTTGATGGCGTAACTACTAGCTTCTGGCTGTGAATATTTGGAAAGGAACATGAAGGGCTTGAAAAAATCAAATTGGCTAATTATAAAGACTAGTATACCTCGTAACCTCGCAGTCTGCTGGAGGGCATTGTTACCCGACCAGAAGATCTCTTCTGGCTTCTATCACTCAATTGCATGATTGGAGGCGGAAGTAAATCTGCTTCGTCGTAATCAACCACGTCTTCCTCCATACTCTCTTCTTCTTGTTCAGGTTCGTGAATATGTCTGTGTATAGAGCTCCGGCCGGTCTCTACCACCGTACACTCCACTTGGTATGTCTCCTCTGGCTCAGAGTTACCCTCGAGATTCTCGCTCTCTTCAATCTCCTCATTGTCGCTGATCGGCTCTGCATCCTCTTCGATTGCCTTCAACGCTTCATCCTCTTCAAGTGCCTCTTGGCTCTCGCTCTCCAACGGTTTCTCCAGACGAATCAATTGCTGTCCCTCTAGTGTGAGCTTTTCTGAGCACATGTACATCATCAAGTCTTGAATGGTCCCTTCGTGAAGAGACCCTCGGCGATAATGACAAATGTCTCGTGCGCTATTGAAGAGCCTTTCTACACCCGCGCCGGTGGCAGGGACTGAAAGCAAGTCTCGTGCGAGCCGAGACAGCACTGGGAATTCGCGCTCGTGTTCTTTCCAATAAAGTCGCGGCGACACAGGGACATTGGCTATTCGAGGTCAGTCAGTTGTTCCAGTGTGTTGTACTGATTGCTCGTGCCTTCGCGAAGATACTGGTCCACTTCGTCATACTCTACTCCTTCATGGAAAATCGATGCACCAGGTGGCTCGAGTAGCCGATCAAGCTCTGTGCTATGCGAATTGGAAGATCGCTGGACCGTACGGAATAGCAACTCGGGGTTCTGCTGCTGATACTGTGTGAAAGATGCTCTCAAATATTCACAGTACCTTTTTGACGTATCTTCATGGCAAGTTGAGTACTCTCGAGCATCAAAAGCACTCAGTTTATACTGAGGAGCAAGTAATGTTCCAGTGCCATAGAGAAAACCGTGGTCGCGGTAGGTTTTTTCGTAGTACTCTTTCAGCTTCTGCCTCGCCACAAGCAACGCGCCATACATGTCTTTCTTCCAGGGTGTTGTCTTTCTCTTCAATCTTCGATTCGACCGTTCGATATGCTCCAGTAGTTTCCTATACACAAGGAACACACTATGGATTGTGACGTCTCTGGTCTTCATCAGAGCCATGGTGAACTGAAAAAACGGTTTGGTCAAATGAACGAGGTAGTCAATTTGCCTCCATTCAACGTCGGTAACCTTGAGCTGCGAGTATTCATGATCGCAGCAGTATTTGTCGATTACATTTCTCAGCCGGCGTGCTCGGCGAAGCATCAAAAAAGTTGAATTCCAGCGTGTCTGAACGTCATGTAACGGAAAAAGCCGAGTACCACCTGATTGGAGGCATAAAAAAGCATCACGCCGTTGTGGGCTTGCGTTGACAAAGATCGCAAAGGATCGAATCTAATGCTGTCAGTGCTCTGAGTATATTGAAAAAGTGAATATCTTGGCTCACCTTTGTCAGTGTATGAGCCACGTCTCCATAGTTGATCGAATCCTTCAACCCGTGGGCTTGGGTGTCGGACCAAAAGGCTCTGACTTCTTTATTCTTAGGTGCTGCCCTGATATGTCCCAGTAGCTGTTTCAGGCAAAGCTGGATCACATGAGCCATGCAGGGAACCCGGACTATTGATTCCCTGGAGCTAATAGCTCTGATAGAAAGCAGTCTCTCTTGCAAGGCGCGTATCATGGTGTCGTTGTTGGTAGCGTTGTCTGTAGTAACGCTAAAAATACGATCGAGAAGTTTTCGTTCCTCCAGTAACCGGTGCAAAACATCACTAAGGTTGTTGCCTGTATGAGGACCGTGCAACGGCTCAAAGCCGAGGAGCATTTCCCTATAGTTCTAATCTTTGTCGATGAAATAAACCGTGATTGCCATGAATGCCTGCTGAAATGGACTGGTCCAACAATCTAAAGCGAGGGAAACCTTGGCATCTTCAGGCAGATCTTGTAACTGTAACTCTTGCTGGCAATTGACTGCATCCCGGAGCCGTCTCCGCAGGGTCTTCGCTGACGGGAGTTCCAATTCTCCGGGACCAGAATATAAAAGGCTGAGTAGCCTCTGAAACACCGGGTTCTCCACCGTCTGGAAAGGCAAACGAAGACACGTAATTGTCTTCAATATCTGCTCCTCGATTTGAAATGTTGTCACTCTGTGGACACTGGGTGAGTCTCTTGTGAAATGGTTCTGCAAAGAATCCGAAATCAATGACTGATTAAATCCCTTTTTCTTCCCTTTACGACAAGTATTAGACTTTTTGTGTCTACTCATGGCGCTTGTCCCATTCCCTTTATACTGTGGATGATCAAGCACAGTGAGACAAGCCTGGCAGATGACTCGAGGACGCCCAGAATCAATATCAGCCACCTGGTCAAAGTGTTTCCACACATCAGCGTGACGCGATCCGGTGGACCATTTGATCTGGGATTGGCCTTCTCCGTTCAACTTTTGGCCGTACTCTGTTTCCTTCCACCATTCAAGAAACTCTGTCTCTAGATGCGACTCGTATGCAATCCATTTCTTTCTGTGCTGAGGTCCCACACGTCGGAGTGTCGCTGGAGGTCTTCGAGTAGTTATGTCGTAGGTTTTGCGGGGTCCTGTCAAAGGCTGCGGTCCATCTTAGTATATATGTAGGTAGCGCCGCAACACTCAGAGGCTAGTGGAAGGGACCATTTTCTTACGGAGGATTGAATGTCAGAATCCAAGAAGCCGTCAGATGACGGCTCAATGGAGAGCAGTGGACTGAAAGGCCGATGTATTGATCGCGATGATGAGGAAGAAGACGCCATACTGAAGTAAAAGGCCACTGGTATTGGAAGAAGGGGGGGTTTTTTTCATCTTGAGTACTTGATTGTGGATTTTGTTCCAGTCGCGTCGTGCTTTTGGATCTATCTATTCCTGAGTCGCGTAAAACCCGCGGGTACCCAAAACCCAACCCAACCCAACCCGCCCGGAGATGAAAACGACTTTGGGACACTGAGAAGGTCCAAATCACTGATTTTAAAGGATCGAACTAAAGATAATATTTTTGAGCTCATTCGAAAGATTCTCAATTGATAAATTTACATAAAATCATCAATGTGGCCTGTAATCCCTTCAATTGTGTAAAGCAGGGCGATGGGAGCAGTGTTCTACATGTAGAGAATATATATTTCCAGGTCGATGGCGTTCATTGTTTCAATGTAATATCCACTCAAAAGCGTGACAGAAATAAATGACCAAAATTACACTAGATGACTAATCAGGTTTGTCCACGATTTATGCATGTTTTTGGGTATTTTGGGCAACCCGCGGGTACCCGCCAAGAACCCATGGGCGGGTTCATCAAGGCCAAAACCCGCGGTGGGTTGCCCATGGGCGGGTAAGGAAATTGAAAACCCAACCCAAACCCGCGTTTGGCGAGGTCTACCTGACACATTCACAAAATCCCTGTATCATGTGACTCGGCCTAGAATCAGGGAGGAGTTTTATTGGGGTTGCCTCACGTGATGACCGCACAGGGCCCACAGGCCTACGGAGGGGGGGTTTCTTCCCTCCTGCAACGGTCTGACGGGAGTTTATAGTTCGCCTCTGCTGGTAGCTCGCTATCTCTCACGCAGTCAAGACTCGTTTTGTTTCACGTCCTTTCTCTGCGGCAATAACACCGATAAGCCTTGATCATATCGCTCTCCACCATGCCGTTCAGCCAGTCCAGCAGTGTCACGCCTGCCCCACTTGACTCCGCTTGGCCCCCGGTCCACATTTGGGAACGCATGGGCGCGGCAGACATTGCCAGTTGACTAGGAACAGATACAGACAGGGCCAGGCGCCTTGAAATGGATGTAGTGGAGACAGACCTCCGTCATAGAAGGCCTCGTTTGGACCTGCAAGGTGACAAGAATCTCGAGGAAAACCGTGAGCCACCCCCTGAAGTCAAACCACTCATCGACATATTTCCGGGTGTCTCCGCCGCCCTTCTTACTCGCGTCTTCGAGAGGAAGTTGAAGGCGACTGAACTCATACGCTTCAAAGAGAAGTCAGTCACCGAGCAAGAAGATCAGGAGGACAGGGTCTTCAAGATGAGCGAGTCGGGAGGCACAGTAGGCTTCAGGAAGGCAGCGGCAACACTTAAGGACTGGGGCCCCAACCTTTAAACATGGACGAGCTGCTTCCTTACATACCTAGCCGTCATAGGATATCTCTTCGGCGAGAAACATCCAAAGGCAGTTCCCAACCTGCTTATGTTCATGAGGCAGATCCTCGACCTTGCTCAAACTTATCAGTGGCCAGAAGCAGTACTGCCGCTCGCCCTTAACTTCCACCAATACATTCTGGATAAAGGAGAGCTGTCGACGGAGCACAACCTCGTCACAACCCCATTTCGCCGTCACAATCTTACCCTGCCTGCGAAGTCACCGGCAAATCCTTCAGCCCGACCTCGTCAAACAAGGTCTACTAGGTCTTCTAATAATGAAACCGAGGTGTGCGATAAGTTCAACATCACAGGATGTCTCTGGGAAGGCTGCAAGAGACGCCATGAGTGCACAGCATGCGGTCTAAGCCAGCATGGCGCATCCTCTTGCCGTAAGAAGACATAACAAGTGCACCCTACTGTTAGGGAACACACCACAGAGGCCGATAGGAGCTCCAATATCTTACCACCAAGTCTAATACCGCAGGGCCAACCGCCCAGGCCAAATACTGCTATCCAATACCCTGTCTTCAACCCGGAGCTCCCAAAACTACAGTTCTCTCCGTCACCACTATATGCACAAGACTGGAGCAACCTCCTACGCCACTATCCAGGCGATCTCAGGTCTACTATCACTGGAATCCTGACCTACGGCGTCCAGATCGGCTATAGGGGCACGAAGCAGTTTTATCACTCCAACCATCACATACACGAACCCGAAATGATCTCGGCCAAACTAGGAGAGCATCTCAACCTCGGTCGCATTAGATTGGCCTGTAGGCCCTCCTTCGTTTCGCCGCTGGGGTTAGTCCCTAAGCACGATGAGGGATGGCGCCGCATCCATGATCTATTCTGGCCCCCTGGAAAAGGCCTTAACCAGGGCATACCGGACCCCTGGTCAGCTATTGAATACATAACAATCTATGATATCTACGAGCAGGTCACACAAGCTGGCCCAGGTTGTACAATCATCAAGAGGGATATTAAGGACGCCTTCCGAATAGTCCCTGTTGCTGAGGATAACCAGCATCTCCTTGCCTTCCAGTGGAACGGTTCTACTTATGTCGAATGTTGCCTCCCCTTTGGCCTCGCTACGGCCCCATTTCTCTTCAACCTCTTCGCCGAGGCTCTCCATTGGATACTCCAATGCCTCCTTCCTATATTCTATATCAATCATTACCTAGACGACTTCATCGCAATCATTCGGCCTTCCTCACTGTCCGACCCTATGGGTCCCTCTGATGAGGTTTACAACGGAGTCACCGACTACCTGCGTATCCCCCGCAATACAAAAAAGGACCAGCAAGGGACATGTGTGACAGTCTTAGGTATCCAGATCGACTCTATTGCAATGGAAGCTCGCCTGCCACCAGACAAGTTGTGCCGCGCCACATTGGACGCCGCAGCTGCCCTGAGCGCAGCAAGTCTCTCCCTCAAGCAAACAGAGCGTCTCACAGGCTCATTAGCCTTCTGTTCAAGAGTTGTCCGGCTTGGGAGGACAAGGCTACAGTCTCTATACACCTTCCAAGCCGCCTTCCCACATGGGAGGAGCGCGCGCCGCCGTATCTCCCACGAGGTACGTGATGATTTGGAATGGTGGAGGGACTCCTTGTCTCTTTTCAACGGCGTACTCTTAATTGACCCCTGCCGCCGCTCGATCACACATCTCTACACAGATGCCTCCAACATAGGCCAGGGACTCTTCTTCTTCTCATCCAAGTCTATATCAGACTGCTGGCCGGCCCATTGTCATCAGCTGCATCCAAGCAATGCTGCCTCACTGGCCCTTGCTCAAAACGCATACGCGCACCAAGACGCACACGCGCACCGAGTCGCACACGCGCACATCAATACCACCGAAGTAGACGCCATACTACAAGGCTTCCTACTTTTCAGCCACCATTGGCTTCATCATACTCTCGTTATCCACACGGATAGCTCCACAGCCTACACAGGACTGAGTAAAGGCTTCCTTCATGGTCCGCCTAACGTACCTCTAAAAAGCCTCCTTATCCTAGCGGCGGCGAGAGATATCCAAATCGTGCCACATTGGCTCCCTTCTGGGGAAAACACATTAGCAGATGCCCTCTCCCGTAATAACTGTCAAGAGGTTGCTAACATTTGTCCCCACTGGCAGGACCTCTCAGTATTGAACCGCCCGCGTGGTTCTCTTCGCGAGCTCCTCAGCTCAATGCAGGCCACCTAAAGCTCTGGGGCGGCCTCAGCGCTAACACACGTTCCGTCTACCACTCTGTTCAACGCAATTACGAAAAGCACTGTGCGCTACAAAATCTCTCGGCTTGGCCAGCCTCAAAACAGTCGTTAATCCCCTGGCTAACTTCACGACTCCTTGGGAATTCAAACCAAAAGGCCGTCAAGCCCGATACCGCACTCGCCGACCTCGTCGCCCTTCGAGCTTATCATATTGACAACTTCCTTCATGATAAAATCTTCGATAACAAGCACTTTCGACGCCTCATAGACGGCGCAAGAAGACTCAACCCAATCAGCAAAGTTCGCGTCAGAAAACCAATTTCGCGTGACACCATTACGAAACTCTCCGCAGGCCTAGCCACACTCCCGTCACAGTCCTTGGAGATGACTGCAAACCTGATAGACGACTTAAACTTCGCAACCGCTTGCCGGGTAGCATTTGCTGGGTTCCTTCGCCTCGGAGAATTTACCTACAAAACAGAAGATCTCAGCACACGTCCTACCTTCTTAGCCACAAAGCTCACGCGCTCCGACGTCAGATTCTCGTCCTCGTTAGACCACGTTCAACTCACACTCAAGCGGAGCAAAACGGACCGACGCCATGAAGGAGCACAGATCATCCTTGCGAAAACAGGAGACGGAGCTTGTCCAGTTGATGCGCTTCAGAGGCTACTACTTCTCGACCCCAAAGCGCCCGACGCCCCGTTATTCTCCTTTCACAGAAGACCATTCAATCGCAACAACTTCCTCTCTACCCTATCTACTAAGCTGAGAGCACTTGGGATACACGCGGACGGCTACTCGGGCCACAGCTTTCGGAAAGGTGCGGCTCAACATGCGCATGATAGTGGGATCCTCGACGATCAGATCCAAGTACTCGGGAGATGGACCTCGGATGCATTCAGGGTGTATTTTACAACGAACACGTCTGTCTTGTACAAGCTCAATCACCAGTTCCAGACAGGCTCGCCGGCTCCACTGTCTCTACTGCTTCCTCCACCGTCCCCTCCACCATCCTAGTTTGGCCCGGGTCATTTGGGCTCTATCTGACGCTACGGTCTAAGACCGCAGCGACAGGTGACCCGTCACGGCCAAACTATACATACGTTGTTGATCTCTCTTGACTGGGTGAGGTCACCAATAAAGGGAGGAGTTTTATTGGGGTTGCCTCACGTGATGCCCGCACAGAGCCCACAGGCCTACGGAGGGGTACTCCCCTCCTGCAACTGCCTCACGGGAGTCAATTGCTCGCCTCTGCTGGTAGCTCGTCATCTCTCACGCAGTCAAGACTCGTTTTGTCCCTCCCACCTTCCCTCTGTATATAGAAACCATCACAAATATACAGACACATTGCCTCCCTACAAGGGAGCGCGGATGGGCTCTATCTGACGCTACGGTCTAAGACCGCAGCGACAGGTGACCCGTCACGGCCAAACTATATATACGTTGTTGATCTCTCTTGACTGGGTGAGGTCACCAATAAATGTTGTCAGACTTCATCATTTTCCCCGATCGACTTGTTCAACGTCACCCTTCAATCAAGTCAAATGATAAAATTCCAACAGAGAGAAATTAATTTCTAAGGTTGACCGTATCAGTCAACTGTTAGAAGCCCATGCATAGTCACATGCGTCTGCATAGTCCATAAGATATACCGAAACCGGTGGAAATGATGCTGCCAACGCACTTGACTTTCTCTTGTGGACAAAATGGAAGCTCAAAACAACTCGACAGAAATTGGGGATCGGCAGCCCAGTGACTTGCCCAACCCTGGCGAGAAAGATAACTCAGTAGAAACCTCTGACCAGGTCCCATTGGTAAGTGGAAGAAACTGTCTTCGAATAATTTGCTGACGACCATAGCCCTCCTCACAACAAAACGCAGCAGCCAGACACCCCCTGGCCACCGAGCCCTTTGAAGACATTCTGAAGGTGCTTGCCGATCTTGAACGCGACGATAGCTGCTCGACTTGTCGGACTATATGGACGCCTATGGGAGTCGTGCGTGTCCAAGCATATCGACGGCCAGAAGCTAGAGCAGGAGAATGTTCTTTTGGAGGAGGCTGGTGCGCACCTGAGAACAAAGAGAGATGGTCTTCAGCTTCGCCACGACAAACAACTCGCCCGGCTGCGTTTTTTTGAGCGAGCACTAGCATCATCTCGGGAGCGACTGACTTGCATACTTGATGACTGGAACTACCCTTTCAGACTCAGTCTGGCAGGGCTCTTGGATAATGCAGGAGGAAAGTGAAGATCGGCTATTTGGGATCATCCTCCCTATTTTGTAGAGGTAGATACAGCACTACAATAATATTGTAATTCAAAGAGAAGTACAACATAAGCAGTAGGTTTTTTTTCTTGTCGGCGAACAATCCCTGTATTCTAGACTGACTTGATCTGTAACCCCCCCACTATGTTATGCACAAAAAACTCCGGATCCAGGGACAGTGTCGTCGGTAGTGCACCTAGCGGAGAAAGTCACGATTGAATTGAACATTGAATAGGCTCCATGCAAGGCCACAGAAACAGTTGAAAGCCAATGCGTGTTGCGTCAAATCCGTGCCAGGAGATCACATCTAGCAACCGTTCGCGTACCCACCGGAGATTCCACGCGGGCGTCTCAAATTGGGGGAGGAAGAACAAATACAGTACCCTTCTGTGATCTCGCCAGACTTCCCGTCAAATTGGACCCGTCGAAACTCTATGCAGTGCACATCTGTGGGGAAAGCGAACGCTGACATGAAGAAGAAAATGTCGCTAGCCTGAGTAGACACGGGCAAAGGATCTGGACCCAGCCACTTGAAGACCGGCAGCTTGTCGTTATCGTAAGTGGGCTGTAGAAAGCTTTCGATTGAGGATGGCCCTGAAACCGCACATCCTGTAGGCTCTCTCTCGTCCGAGAGGATCTGCCGAGGCCGTTCAGGGTCGGTAGCGAGACAAGGAGGAGGTTTCGGTATGCCAGAGGACTCCTACCAGATGGTGTGAAGATCGAGATCCAAATCACACCCTACCAAGTTTAGCACCAAAGAATCAGAGGAAGAATAAGTACAGACCGTTTTTGCTTGACCTATTCACTGTTACTCTAAACTCGCTGTCAAAGGCAAGAGTAGAAATAGCGATTGGAAGAGAGTGAGAGAAACAGACTACCACAGTGTGAGCAGGAAATTCTATAATCTGATCCCAGTTCATGGCCGATGCTAGGTTCTCGAATGTCAAACCTTTGATGCATCAACGGCGGTGAAAGGTTGATTCCATCGCCGCGCCCAACAGAAGTTCACCGGTGATCGGATAGGATTCAGAAAGGGAAATCATATTCAGAATAAAGCAAAGATAAGTAAAATAGCCAGAAAAGAGCGACAGTCTTCACTAGCGCTCAATAGAACCAAGAGTCATCAAGGCCCATCAACGTGGTAGGCTTGAGTATTGCTCGATTGCAAAGCTGAAACAACACCATTACAAAGTGCTCGAACTGCTTGCTTTCGATCCGAAAGTATCAATTTCTGCTCATCGCAGAGCTGTAGCAGAATCTCGCTGTCTCTTGCTAGCCACTCATTTGACTCTTGAAGCTGTCGCTGCACTTCTTCAAGTCGTATTTTCTCGGCAGACTTGACGACATAGCATTCCCACAGGCAAAAATACAGATCAAGCAGTTTGAGAGCTGGCGTAGCCAGGGCGTCGTTGTATTGTAGAAGTTTCATGAACTCCGCTGTAAGGGAACCGCGTGTGCGCACTGGAACCTATGCAGTATTAGTGATCTAGTTCGTTTGCTATCCAAGAGGGCTTGACTAACCTCAAACTCAATGGCCACAGGATTTGCAAATTGCTGATGGTGGCTTTGCAGGTTGCTATCATCTTCTGGATCGTGGGAAGACCAGCACTGTCTCTTGGCTGGCCGGTCACATGGAGAAGGCGGAGTTGGATGGTCCATCGCAGCCTTTGGAATAAAATACAAAGTACATTGTACCCGAGAGCCTTTTATAGGCCCAGCAGTCACACTGAGGCTGCTGTCATTGTCAGCCACGACCGTCCAGCCTGAGTTCGACCGCCTGTAAAAGAGTCAATGAATGGTTCCTCAACGTTTACCGCAACTATTGACGCTCGATCTCATCTGCTGCTCACCCCGAGTTACTCAATTTCATGTGGAAATGAGCATCAGATGGCGCCTTGAAACAAAATCTCGCAAAAACTACCTCCTAATGATATTTTGTAAGTGTTACTTTGATGCATTGGATCATATAAATCAAGTAGAGTTCGTTGAAGTTGAACGCGACGTTGTTATCACTGCGAACTATCCAAATGGTGGTGAGGCATATAATAACGTTACACATATTGCTACATAACAGCAGACATCGAAGAAGTGAATATGTATCACTCGCTCTTACAGACCACCCATTCTTCTCCCGGCGACGGTGTTCAAACTGTTTGATCGGAGTATCTATCCTTTTCCGGATGATTATTTGGATGGTATAGTTACCTACCAATTCTACCGACCCACTAAGACTGCCTTCCTTTCAGGCCTCTATACACCAAAAGCGCGAAGACAATGGGGAATATCAAAAAGAGTTATTTTCTGGTTTTCCAAGCTTTAAGCGCCAGCTTCAACAAAATTAAAAAGCTTATTTCCCAGACGATCAAAATCTCTCCCAGTTATACCTGCCGCCGCTTCTGAATCAGAACGCACACGACGATCAGCCGCCCCGTCCCCAGAGGAGTTCTTCAATGAAGATAATATATCACAAAAGGAGAAGACAGACATCTCGATCGGTTTGCAATTTACCACGAAAGCGCCCTCGGCGCAGACTCGACTTAAACTGATCTTCAGTTTCAAAGCCTGTGAGAAGAAGAACGAGCTGGGTAGGTCGGTTTTGAAATGCAAGAGCCATTGGGTGCCCACTTTCGTGCTAAACATGTGACAATTGCGAGAGAGCGTAAGTGATCATACCTCATGCACGAGTATCAACTTTTTCGTGAACCCATGGAAGTCACTGGAGGCATGGAATAGATACTGCCCAACTGAAGAGCTTTGTTTTCTTGGGAAGATCCGAACAACTGATTTTCACGGCTCCGGCCAACTTAGGCACCCAAGGGTTTGTCGCTAGATTTGCCCCTTTGGACAGTCCCTTCTGGTTTTTGAGGCCTCATTATGAAATATGTTCTCATCAATGCCGTAGGACATGCTGCTTGGCCATGGATGTACCAAAAGAGCTGAAACATGAGTTTTCGATTGAACCATGACATTTTCGGGTTGATCCAAGCGAGCATCCAAAAAACGTAAAATTCGGTTGGCGCACACTTTTGGTCGACGGCTATGGCGTCTGCATTCAAAACAAAGTAACTGCTTTGCAGCCAAGGATAGCCTCTGCACTGGTGGATATGCAGAAGGAGGGCTCTGTAACAGCTGAAAGCACAATACTCCATTTATCCGGGACTCAATTGGCACGCTGTTTTGACAGTGATTTCCGTCAGGTGCCACCTATATGCACAATCACGGTGCAGGGGATCGTCCAAAACTTGGCTCAATACCTTTTGGAGATGAGTAGGGTTCTAGGTCATGATGGGAAAATTAACTGTAAATGCGTTCAGGGTGATGTCGGATTCGGGATGTAGTCTTCCAGTTGACGAGATATATTCTTGAGTGGTGTTTGTGATCATGTAGGAAGATTGCAATATATAGATGCTTGAGAAAGCACGTAGTGAGGCTATTCATCTCGCTGGGTCCCTATTACGGTCTGAGCAATGAATTCTGGACTTATTTGGGCCAGCAAATATTCCCGTCGCATTCCTAAAAAGAGGTTCTTAATTACTGGGAGCTCTGGTAGCATCTTATAGGATTATACATGAAGCATGCGGAACACGTGGAGAAATGATACGCGGACCACCATGGTGGATCAAGAGCTTTCAGTTCCTTGAAGCGAATGAGAGCCCAACACACACATCGTAATTTTCATAGGCGACCCATAACCTTGCCGACTATGCTACCCACAGAAGCAGCCGGCCATTCTAATGACGTATGTTCGTCGCAATAGAGCAGCAGTGATCTGGAATTAGACATATCGCAGTACGTGATAGTTTCAAATCTGCAAGCGCTAGATGTTAATGCACCTGGACATGCTATTAACTTGTGTATATATTTAATCAACAATACTATTAGTTTGACTCTAGGAATCAACTTAATGTCCCTGGAAACACCAAATTTCATTGTAGAAGCTGCCTGTGCCCCGGGAGCTCCACACTAGCTCCTGGGGCCAGTTCCTGTGTCTAGGAAACTAATTTCTAACCCTGGGCTCTTCACTCTACGATCCTGACAGGTCATGAACTGGCTCTGGGAATACAGTGGCTAGATCTGGGATGTGCTTTCCTCCTGGAGCCCTAGTTGTGAATCCTAGAGTTAATATTTTGCCTTCTAGGCTCGCGGAAAGCCCTCACAAGCCACCTTCACCGGACCTGCGCACAAACCTGCGTAATTCGCTACTCCCGAAAAGGCAAAGCTATAGCCTCAGGAACCGCACTTGAGGTTCCAGGAGTTGGTGAATCTGTCAACAGGAACATGACTTTGGTTCCCCGAGGTGAAAGTACTAGACCCCAGAAGCTACGTCGGATTTCCTGGGGGCTACGTGGCCCCCAGACGCTGCTCTTTTGCCCCCAGAAACCGCACCAAAGCCCCTGGGAGCAAGAGAGCTCCTAGGGCCAGGATGTGCATTCCCAGGGCTGATAGAGCTGTCAACAGGGGCGTGACTGATTTGTCATGGTGGGAATGGAGAGTCTACAAGTTACGTACGATTCCCTGGGGCTATGTGATCCCTGGCAGCTCACATCATTCTCAGGTCGGCTTTTGAAATCTTGACGGCCGCCAAGGTTGATGGTTCTTTACGCAGAGCAGGTCGTCAACCATCACCTGCTTGCTACACCAAGCCACTCAGCATACTGCTCCAATATTGGCCACGAAAGGTTGGCTAGTCAGATCAAGCGACGAACATGCTTTGGTTTCAATCAAGAAATTCAATTGGTAAATTATCTCACCAGATCTGCAGTAGAGTCCATTCCTTTATCGTTTTCATCGCACCTCTAATGGTTTTGGACTCCACCTCCCTCATTTTTCGAAATCATCATCAAATTCTGCGACTGCCTTTGTTCCGCAAATCCCGTTGACGCGTTCCTCACTCCTACTTTAGGAGATCGATGGAACCCCTATTTGCCTGTTTATAGGTCCGTGTGCGCACTCTGCTAGTGTCCGCGTATGGCGCATACGGCAAAAGGCACAAGAGACATAATGACTGCTAAAACTCCGAAAGCCGCCTGACTAACGGCCCCATAGTACATAATCTTGTAGTATGGAAAATAGCGCTCACTGTCAAATAACTCAAATGATGTCTGAAGACCGTGGACCTTGCTGGCAACATAACCCCCCAAAGATAGAACAATCAACCCGACAACGAGTTGAGTGCAGACGTAGTAAAGTCGATACTTGCGGTCTTCTCGCAGGCATCTTGGGTGGATCGAAAGGGCGATCCCGAAGATTGAAAACACCGCTGAGATGAGGGCCACGATCACCATGCCCACGACGATGTTTTCCATGAGATTTTGGAAACTGATGTCCAAAATAGAGTCGCTTGAGGTGGCGAGGTCGGATTTTGCGCGGTCTCGTAAGATGACCGCAAAGCGTACAGTGGCCGAACTGAGACCTGCAAGAGCCAGCCAGGTGATGGAAAGGAAAAAGAAGGCAAGACGCATTCGAATTGTGGCCATGGTAGTATTCAGTGGCATTGTGTCCGCAAGGAAGGATTTTTCCGAATGGAGGAAGGTAAGACAGGTCTCGTTAAGGAACAGCGGAATGATGAAGCAGGTCAATCTCCGGGCACCGTGAATTTATATGTCCTATATGGTCTTTTCACATAATTTTTGCCTTCACAAAGAACGGCCCAGCTGATAGTGAGCCGTGCTAGGTGCGTCTCCCATCCTTTGTTGCCTAATTAGTAATTGATAATCCTTGTAGGCACTGTCTAAGAATGTTTCAGGCCAAATCGCTATTCCTATCCGCTGGGTCGACGGTCTCGGGGAACGTGTCCGATCCCTCGGTAGTAACACATGTCCTGGAATCGTGCTGTGAGGTCCCAGGCGCTGCTGCCCTTTTTTCGAAAGTTGTATCAGGCATTCTGAAATCGGATTGGTCACTGCACATAGTCATATCAATCCACCTTATGGAAGAACATTTGAACCGGAAGCGAGGTCGTGGGGGTAGAAAAACATGAATACAGTTTCCCGTCCTACCCTTTTTATATTTTCTATTCGTGATATTAACCGACCCATTCTCCCACTGAGCGGTCTACCATTCCAAATCAAAGTCCGACTGCCTGCGCTCTCTTTTGAAAATGTCGTTCGATTTTATTTCAAACAACCATTACGTCCAGGTGGGAGTCAACCAAGGTAACATTATACGTCTACAGAGCCGAGACCAGTCAGTCATTCTCAAGACACTCTAAGTTCCAATAAGGGGGACAACACCGATGCTGCTACTACACTAGCTCTGTGTCAGGTTCTTAGAAGAGCCTAAAGATGCCGAGACATGGTTCAGGACAAAGTATCTGAACATGCTAAAATTGTTGGAGTTGCAGAACGCCTGGACACCCTTCTTCTGGACTGCAAAGACCTCAACTCTGAACAGTGGGGCTCTGTAGAGAATGAGGCTATTATTGCTGTCTTCTCACTTTTATACTGCTGCATCATGGAATGCTACGAGCTCAAACCTACTCCGCTGGCAATCTCGTCTGTATGCGATCAATTTGACGCCTGCAACTTGAATCTCCCATGCGTGTATGATGCAGCTATGATGTATGTTTCAGTTCACCTACCTGGTACTCACAGTATAAATATTCTAACCAGATGGGTGTTCTAGGGATCTGGACTACAGGAGATGGGCAAAGGGACGACATGAAGCATACCGGGCCGGTCGTATACCATTCTCGGGCGCTTCTTGATCTGTAGAGGAAAGATTGTGTGTGAGATTGTGCGGCGAGATTGGGGGACATGAATGTGAGCTTCGGCGGAGAACATCGTGGTATCCAAACCGTTGAGTACATACCATGGAAGGACGGAACGCTCGTTACCTTTTCTATCTAGATGACCTGTGAAATTTGAATAACCTTACTGAGATGATCATGTTTGATGCTGTATAAAGGGTGAATCTATGAATACATATTTGCTATCTATATGGCCGGGCATAGAGAGCACAAGCCCGACACAAATTTCACTTTCTCCATGATTCTAGCCTTGAAAGATATAAATGTCAAGTGAAACACGATATCAGACCCAACTAGCCCTAGAAGCAATAAGTTTCTTGAGACAGTAATGGGTGGGTGCCTGCCTTGCATCACCGAGATTAAATCCCTGCCGGTCCTATACGTAGCGAACTAAAGAGCACGGCGAAGCACAATATACTTCATTAGATGCCTAGCAAGATATGCGGTCCTGTGCATTGAGCGCATTAAAATTGGACTGGCGACATTATTCTTTGCTCTGTGCCTTGTTTAAGGTTCAAAATTTCACAATTCCTAGGAGCCACAACAAAGCATAAAGAATGGTGTCAAAAACGAAGCTGTGGCTTTCAACGGGCCTCGTATAGTTTAGGCACCCCGGGCCCTTCATTTTTTGTAGTTGATAAGATCTTCAAATGACCAGACAGGCCTAGAGGGCTATAAATCTCTCGACCCCGACGCCTTTGCACCATATGATAATTTCGAATCACTCAGCTGTCGAGCAAGCTTTGTCTTCCAGACTACCTGAGACTTCTTGACCAGGACCATTTGAGTTCTCCTTTACATGCGCTCGAGCTTTCATTCTCCAAGCGCGGCTGCCTCCATGAGAATGAAACCCACCCCTGGCTGTTCAGACATTGGCCCCGAGTTTGACCGCCTGAAAAACATCAAGAGGATTTCCCTCAATGCAAAGCTTGTGGCCTTTGTCGAAAAGGCTCATTCCTCGATTCAGGAACGAGGACGTTTCAAGCAACGGGTTTATTACAAGAGATCTCTCCTTCATTACGCTGCCATGGGGAACTGTACAAACCTCCTTCAACATCTCCTACAAAGCAAGCCAAATGTTGATTCTCGAGATCAATGGGGGCGGACACCACTCTCCTGGGCTGCTGAGTATGGCTCATTGGCTGTTGTGAAAATTCTACTGGAGCAAGGAGCAAACGTCAACGCACTAGATTACGAGGGCGGCGCACCGTTGACATGGCTGATGCGCGCCGGCAACCCTGAAATTGGAAAGCAAGAGGACACTGAGGCGTACCTAAGAGAGAGAGGCGCGACAGAAGGGAAATTGAGAGGCATCAAATTCGCCTGGGTCTGGGTTTTGCATTATACTCACTTAATCCGACACGTTCGCCCGCACATCTAAGGCTCCCGATGACATAGAGCCAGCTGATATTGTGCTCTAATATGACGGCCATCAGATAAGTGTCATAGTTGTGGAACGCGGGTTTCACAGACACTCTTGCTTTCTTTTTTTTTTTTTTTGAGTTGAGTATTTTTGAAGTGGAAATAAAAAGCAACAGTGCAGATTTGCGCGGAATGTTTGGAACATCCGTATGTATTCTATTAGTAAACATCCTATTCTTGCATGGCAGTCCAAGATAGTAGGGCAAGGGATACATGTGCTAGTTTCCACTTTAGCCCGTAAAGAAACTGGTATTTTTGACCCCAAACTGTCTACTACAAGACTTTGAGTTTATGGTCGTTTGCGTCGACAATTTGCGTTAGTGCATCAACTAGAACTAGGTCTTCCAGATTTTATTTCGTATGGCAAAGCCCCTGAGCGAGGCTTGGAAGCAGGATAAGACGACATATTCATTGTTTATTCTTTCTAGGCTATAAAATCAAGCTAGCTTATCATATAATAGATAGAATGACATATGTCCTGGAGCTGGCTCCGTGTCTGATAGACTATGCCAAAGCTTGTCTAAGGTAGGGTGTTATGCAACTTTACAGTACCGCCAGCCTATTTCCTGGGCTGAACCACAATGGTAAAGGCTATAAGAATTCCATCCCTCTTGTCTTGAATCAAGCATACACTAGACTTTCCCAATGCGTTTCGAATGGGCTACTGTACAGAGATAGTAGTCAATACTATGCACTGCTTAATATTCTACCGTGACGTGCCTTCTAGAGCCTCGTGGGGTTTGCTATCTCATTCATAAATGGATTGCGAGTTCTCATATTATCACTTCGCTGGTGCTTCTAAGGATTTTCATTTCCTTCGTGGTTCCAATATACTCGTAAACAAGGAACGATCCATTTCCTAAGGCAGAAGGCGAAAAGCTAAAGCCGTACTATAGAACGCCCGGGGAACACTTGAATGATCATCCTCTTGATCAAAGCCCGCGTAGCACCTCTCTTCGTTGCGCCATTCCTTCTCAGATAATCTATTGTGGCTGCTTGATTTGGGCCCCTACCCGCTTCTATCAGCCACGACAACGGTGTTGTATACATATCGTCCATGGATTCAATTTCCACCCCATTGTCCAGCAAAAGTTTCACCGCACGCAATGCACTATATTGCGCGGCCCAGGAGAGAGGTGTCCGCTTGTTCTGATCGAGGTCATCTTTTGCTGTCCCATCTTGGAGGAGATAAAGAAGGAGCTCGGCACAGTCACCCATTGCAGCATAGTGAATGAGAGACCTTTTGAAAGGTCCTCGCAGGTTGTATATCCCTTTGTATTTGAGTGTTGCCTGTGCATCTTGAAAAAATGCCATAATTTCTTCATCAAAGCATATCTCTTTGATGCCTTTTAGGCGTTGAAATCCACCGTCAATGATGGTCAAGGAGCGAGAAGGAATTGTCATAGTGATCGCAGGCACTCCGAGAGGGAGATATGAAGAGAGAAAAGAGGTTATTTGCTCATCAAGGAAGTGGAAAGATGGAGGATTTTAAAGACGTTAGGATCTTCCTTTTCGTATAGCAAGTGTTGAAGGTGCACATCCCTCACATGTGCTAGAAAAGGCCCGTGTAGCAACGCAAATTGCATAGGTGATGGATATCGTCAATTTAAATCGTTATTGATTTTGCCTCCGCGAGTTGGGTGTTCAAATATTCTGATGGATCAAGTTACTGAGGGTTGGCACACCGGATTCAAATAAAGGTACGGTAGAAAGGGAGGGAGGGGGTTGAGTAGAAAAATAATAAAACAAGACTTATTCATCTCTTTATTCGCTTTTCAGCTTGAGTATCAAGCCCGATGAAAAACTGACTGGTTGAATATCCAAGTTCCAGCATGGTCTAAATTCTGCGTCTGCCTCAACGCGGGTAAAGTGGCGGACGGTTATCGCCGCACTTGACACCAGTGGTGCTCAAGAGTCGTGCCCGCTATTATTGAATGCTTTTGGACCGCACAAAAATAGTGAAACGTTGTCTACTTAAATCAAATTATCACCGTTGGGGCGTTGAGAAGTTGAGGCGAAATTTGCCGAATGTTTCTAGCAATGATAGGCTTCCGCAATCTGATGCATTTCACGGATGGCCATTTGGTTTTGGGGCCGATAGATGGTCAGAAGATCAATCGTTCACAAGATTCAGTCGGAACCACAGACGGTATGTATGCTTAAGACCCTTCCATGATCACGGACTTGCAGGTATTTTCAGAAGCCTCCCCAATAGCCTCACCTCCTGGCGATTATCGATTCAATACTTTGTGACCTCTAAGTCGGCTGCGGGATGGGTACATACCCGTAAACTGATACCACCTACGCCAGACACCAAACAGCACCTGATACAGAGCGTTCATGAACAAAACCAGCAAATTCTCCAAAGCCAGGACCATGTCAAATCTGAGCGACTCTATGGCACTCATTCCCCAGCAAAGATACTTGAGCTCCCCACCGAGTTGCTATATGATGTCCTAGATTATTTATCTACGGAGGATTTGGTTTCATTCGCATTTTGTCGATGGGATCTGTTTCAGGCTCTGATCGGCTTGCTCGAAAGCAAGGCAAGACCATCACTACAAAGCCTTGGCCATCTCGTTACATTGTTTGAGAGAACGTGGCCAAAGAAATGGCTTCGAATCATCGTCCCGATCTGCGCTAGATCTGAACAGCCAATATTGAGAGATCTCGAGACACTTGTGGGGTTATTTGAAGATAGCCATTGGCCCCAAGAGCAGCTTCGAGATATCATACTAGAATCAGCTAGATATGATCAGCCGGCTGTGCACAGCTGTGTTGGGCTTGGATTTGAAGAGGTAGCTTGTCGATATTTGCGAAAATGCCCTCACGCACTATTCGATACGAAAATTCTCCACATGACAGGTTTGCACATCTCTGTCCTCAAACGTGTTCACACTGTGGTCCAGGAAATTGGAACTATAGCTCAAAACATGCCTGAATTCGATCGGGTGGAATTTGTCAATCGGCCTGACGACGTTCAAAATACCCCACTCGACTATGCTATTACGATCTCGTCTTCGACTATTGTGAATATTCTTGTTAGCGCTAGAGCTAGAATCAACGATACAGATCGCCTAGGTTATACTCCGCTCATGAACGCGTGTCATCTCGGACGAGACGAGGTCGTCCACTGCCTGGTTGATCGCGGGGCGGACATGCGAGCTACAAACAGTTTCAACCTCTCGGTCTTAGAATGTATTGCGATTGGCGAAAGCCGAACGAAGGAGGCATTGTTGCAGCGCATATGCCCTCATGCTACCCAAGTGCAACTGAACAGAGCACTTTGGCTTGCAGTCAATGACAAGAAAGAACTTGTGGGTATTCTGCTTAGACTTGGCGCAGACGGCCACTACGCTGGCATTCTAGAAGACGATTCGTGCGATGCAGAAAGAAACGGGCATCCAAGTTCAACCCCACATGGACCCGTTGAAGCAGGCATGTCATTGTCCCGACGTCATTCAAACCCAAGTATCGCCAGTGACGTTGTGTCTAGGGAATCGGATATTCTCGCTGATTTGAGTCCTATCATGCATAGCGAAG